GGGAGGAACTGGGTAGGAACAGTTGGGGGGCAGGGTAGGGGTGGGGCTGTGGGTAGGGAGGGCAGGTGGAAGGGATCTATGGGTAAGAGCAGTGCAGGAGGAAGGGTAGGTGAGGGAGTGGGGCTATGGGTAGGGAGAATGGAGGGGAGGAGCCATGGGTAGAGGGGCGGGGCTAAGGGGAGGGAGGACAGGGGAGGTGGGGGAGGGCTGTGGATAGGGAGGGCAGGGCGGAGGGGTGGGGCTAAGGATGGGCTACAAGGATGCTGGGCCTTCAGGGCTGCTGGACAAACAGCCCCCCAGCAGGGAGCTTGGGCCAGGGGTGAGGCGCTGGGGCTTAGCTCTCTACATCACGAAGAGCCCTGTGGCTTTATGAGGGTCACAGATGGACGGCTGTCTGGCTGACCGCCAAGTGGGGAAGGCGCCCTCCTCCCGTCCCCACAGGCCCCGAGTCCTCCGGCCCAGGTGCCCCGAGCCTTCAGACTGGCGTGCTGCGCCCTCGGTGGGAGGCACCGAATGCTGAGGGTCAGATGGGTGGATGGGTGATCCCGGGGCCTTACTGGTTGAAGCAGTGGGCAGCTGACAGCAGCCAGCGGTCACCCACCACGGTGGCTCCGCAGAAGTGCCTTGGACCTTCCTTGAGGCTGACCTGCCAGGGCACCTCCCCAGACGCAGCCCCAAGCCCACCCACAATTCGGGTGGGCTTCTCCATCGCAGGCCGGGCCCCGCACTCTGCCAGGAGACAAGAGAGAGGGGTCCCAGTGCCCTTGTCCACTGCGGACACAGCATCCTAGGCCTGGAGGGCCCGGGGATGCCTGAGTGCAGCCGTCTGGCCGAGTCACTCTCTTCTGCAGAGAAAGCTGTGGCGGCCCCAGGTGTCCGGCCTGAGGTTGGGCAGCAGGTGGTGACGGCTCTGTGGGCTTCCCAGGCACCAGGCGCATGGCCACAGAGCAGGCTCCACACTGAGGGCCCAGGGCGCTCAGAGATAGTGGAGATGGTTCTCTGGGATCTGGGGACAAGGTGCAGGTGACAGTGAGGTGCAGCATGGGTGTCATGGGCTCAGAGGCCTAGCAGGTCAGCACATGGTCAGCTAAGGCTGGACCCAGTCCTGGGCAGTGTCGGTCAGGTGGCCTCTGTGGGCCTCTGCACCCAGGCTTCTGGCCCTCCAGGCACGATGTGTCCTCCCAGGGGCCCAACACGGTTGCCAGCAAAGAACGAGGTCTCAGTGAGAAGCCTCACTGCGGGGTCCTCACGTCCTACACAGGAGTCACCACGCAAGAGCAATCCCACTCCTGCACATAACCCCCAGGAGCCAAGGCACGCCCCATCCCGACCCGAGGGGCAGTCCAGCTGTCTCTGAATGATACAGGCACCCACTCTGGAGC